AGGGCAAAATCACGTGTGAAATTGGGGCCAGGTGCGGCTGTGGAGCCAGCGGCTGTCGAGAACGCTGTGTGAAGCGGGGGTGCAGCTTCTGCACCTGCTTGGTGTGTCTGTACCTAATGGGTGTGTCTGCAGACTGTGCTGAAGAAACCAACAAAAGACACCCAAAGAAACACTGTTCCTTACTTGTCAAGAAATACCTCAATTAATCTCAACTGCAGATTTGGCAATGGCCTAGGACACCTGTGTCGGTCTAGCACCTGAGCAGCTTTCCTAGAGTCTGTTCGGAGCTTTGAGTCTTTACCATGGTGGCTTTTGACTTTAAAACACATTTTTTAAGATGGCATAGGCCTTAAACATGATGACTCGATGAATGAAAAAGACGCCTCGGGCTCCTTTGCCACCTTGAAACGGGTTCCCAATCAACTGTCAGTCAACCCCAAAGGCCGAATTCCAACAACTCAAAGCCTTTGAAGATGTATCCAGCTTTTCACGCCATGAAATATACGGTCTACCAGAACACAAAAAATACACCAGGGTGATCCAGGGTGTGCATCTTGAAGGTAGAAAGGACATCAAGTCTCGAGTAACTATTCCATCCTCAGCAAAAGGACACCATACAGATTTGGGGTTTGTGTTCCCATGTGTCCATCTCTCTTACAGCCTGGTACTTGAGAAGTAGGTACTTGAGAAGTAATGTTCACAACACTTGTGAACCCCTCTCGTGGTGGTCGCAATACCTGTTCTGTTGCTTAAGCCCCTACGTCCCTCATCGCCAGATGTAGAGAATTCTGAAACGTTGATGAGACCTTCCACAAAAATCCTCACAGGAGCTGTTCAATGAACAAGGACAAAGTTCCAGGAGTATAGTATAGGGTCGTAGAATGTCGTATTCAATGATCAGTCTCCATGTCGTCTTAAGACCTACCTACCCAACAACCTGCAAAATCCCCCAACAACTATGGCATCAGAGCCTTATGCCAAAGCAGTCGTCAACATGAGTGACTGGACCACATGAGTCGTCGAAATGAGTCGTCCCATGTCGTCCCCAGATTTTTAGGCACGCAGACGCGACCCTCTCAGTCCAGACGACGCACCACTCGCGCAGCTGCGCAAGCTGTCCCCCTTGGAGCCCCCCCGCGGTGCCTTGGAGTAGTGTGCATCTTGCAGCGACCTGAGGCCGCGATTCGGCGCAAGTCCAAGTTGCAAGTTGGACTGTAACCCAATCACCCCACACCAATTCGCTTTAGAACCTGCACGACCTGGTTTCCTCCGAAAATCGGCGCCCTGCAAAGCTTCGAGTGGTGCTGGTATCCACATCCCGACGCATCAGCTACCCGCCCAACGTGTGACCTGGTCACGGGCCTCTGAGGTGGTCTCATCAGCCATCGGCCATAACCTCCGGCTGAGGCGAACGAAGGGAGGCCTCCGATGAACATTTTAGAACGCTCAAAGATGCTCAAAGCAGTATATAGTATATAGGCTTTCCACTCACTCCAAGGGTGAGAAAGAAGACTTCCGGCCATCTTTGTTGAGCCATACTCAGATCATTGGGGGAGTCTCAGATCATTGGGGGAGTAGCTGCCAGCAGGTCTGAACGAAGTCTCGTTTCATGCTCCGCGAAGCACCCCTGCGGCCCATCTCTTAGAGTTTGTCTGGTGGCATGGAATGAGATCGCGGAGCATCTGACACACTCCGCCCATCTACTTGGCATCTCGTGAGCGTTTCCGCCCTCGTTGTCCAGGGTGTATACTCTAGCGGTAAAGTCTATACTTTCTCTAAGCTCCTCAGCACCCGCGGCTTCGCAAAAGCTCGGTCTGTCTTAAGTCATTCCTCTCGGTCGTTGCCACCGTTGGCCACCGACGCATTTGCGATCCAAGCTTCAAGAGGACTGATTGAAACTATCACGACCGGCCGAAGAATTGCCGTTTTCCTAGGCAAATGAAAGGCCACAACCACCATGTCAGCTTCTTTCCATGTCCAATTCTCTTCGCCCAGCTATACAGTGAAAACGTTAGACACTTCTTTCTGCTCCCTTTTTAACCTTTGCGCATGCAAGACGGGTACTTGAAGACACTTGAACGACTCAACCCTCACTGTAACATCTAATGCTCGAAGATGCCTGGTCTGCTGGCCTACCAAGTGAGTTGTGGCATTGACTTCTATGCAGTGCTCTCAGTTTCCTACTTTCCTTGACAGGAGTTCTATCTCTGAAGTCTTTCATATACTTGCTTCATCACCGCAGAAAGAGCGAATTCATGATACTGTTGGATGAAGCAACTATGTGGCCTGATCTATGCCGATTGATTCGAGCAGGCTCGTCGTCCAATTGGTGGCCACGGGCCTTGCAGCTCCGCAAGACCTGGGCCGCGACCTGGTCCTTCCCAAAGTGGCCGGTTGGTCGGTCAGTCGAAGGGTCCACCCGACTGGGAACACGCGAAAACGGTGCCGGGTTTTCACGGCCGGTACGCCCGGTGAAATCAGTCTCTCACACACTACTATCATCCGGGGCATGAAGGTAACACAAAATAGGATAAACACATGACCCCGCTCCTCAATAGAGGATCAAATAGACTAAACTCTGCGGTCCCTCAGGTTTTTCATTTGTCCCTAGAAAGCTGTTTTTGGGGCGCTTCACTACTGCCCGACGAACCGCAACTATGGACTGGACGAAAACGTTGCTCCGTGTCCGGGTCCCCTTTGTTGCTTCCGGTTTAGAAGCCCAAAGGGGCACTCCTCAGATCTGTGTGAATGCGAGGCAAGTCGTGGACAATCATCCAATGTTGTGAGGTGCAATTCATCTCGACATGCTTATGCATGGAGGTATGTGCTGCATCTTGAAGTGAAAGTGCAACAACATTCTATCTGCATATATCTGCATGTTTCAGAGGACTAAGTCATACTACGTCTCTATCTCAAAAGGGAAGATAGACAACCACCCAGTACCTAAGCGGTGCCTGTTTCAAGACATCCCGGCAGGGCGGAATCTGGGCGTTTCCTGCTGCAGACTGGTCGCAGAACCTCAACTTCACCAGGTCTTTTAGTTTGTAGTAACTTTTTGCGGCACCTTGAACTCCCCCCCTACAACCCTTTCTTTGAAGAGAAATCAGAACTTCGTGTCGCCGGGGTGTCTGACATTCATGCTACGGGATGGGACATACTTCTTGAAAGACCCAGTGAGATGTCGAGAGTCGGTAATGGCCCATAATTGAAAAGACCACAGTTTGTACCCCCACAACAACGCCGTGAGATAGGATGACAAATAAGATGCGTGTGTGTTTACATATCATATGATACGGTGCACAAACAAATTAAAGACATTAGATTCAAACTTAAATTTATAATCTGTGCTCATCCTGTGATTGGAAACTGTATCTGTCCTTGGGTTCGAGTAAGAATGAGAGAAGGCGCATCTGTCCGAAATGGGGCTTCTTTGTGATGAAGCACAGACTGAGAAGTGATTGGAGCACTAAACCTTTGCACAACTGTCAACTCTGTACGCTAGTGCACAACTGCAACCGAGTAGATGCCACACGATCGTTGCAACATGGATCGTTGCACGTGCAGAATGCAAGGTCCGTGACTTCCTGAGCCACTCTGATTGGTAAATGGAAGGTGAAAAATCAGGACACCTGGGAGCTTCATGTGGATGGTTTGGGGGTACGACAGATCCACCTCTGGGCCATGGCTAGCAGTGGCATGATACCTCGAGGTGTTCTGAAATTTCTAAAGGACACCAAGATAGGCTCCCCTATCTTTACCCAGACTGGTGACTTGTCAAAATCTGGGGACCTGGGTGTCAAGATCTGGTGGGGGGGGCACATGGTGATCCCGATACAGGTCACAATCAACCTGCGCAAAGTGCGTCCAAAGAGATAAAAAGAGTCCCTCAGGTAGGCGAGTGAATGCTGAAGAAAGGAGTGGGAAGATTATTGGCCCCGGTAGGATGGTGTTTGGGAGTTCCGAACCAGTCGTGCCCCATTCAGGAAGACATGGCATGGCCTCTACTCAGAAGCAAAGGCGTTTGATCAAGTCTTGCCTTGCTGCTTGTAAACTGTGCTGCAGGAGTCTTGTCCTCAGTCCTCTGATCTATCTGTGCATTGCAAGCAGGCCCCCTGCTCCGGCCATTGCGCATTGGATGTTTTTTTGCTGGTACATCATAATATGACCTCCCAAAACAAACCGAATGGACCAATTTGGGTTTGGGGAACTGTTTGTCTTGGGGTATCGAAATTCATCGAATGTCTCTGCAGAATGGGTCGCTACAAACCGAAACGCACATGGACGAACATGTATTGCTATACATTGGGTCCCATTACCAGTACTGTAACAGTAGATGATGGTTCAGTTGCAGGCCTTTCTCTACAATAGTAAATTTGTTTACTGACAGGTTATGGGACAGACCCAAACTGTAGATTTCAAAAACAATGCGCACTGCTTAAGAATCCTCAGGGAGATGACAAGAGAGTCAGACCGAAACGCCAACGCAGACACGCCAGCAAAACGGAACAAAACGGACCCACGACGGAAACACGGGTGCATAGTTCTGGGTAGTGGCCAACAGCTCAGTGGCCAACAGCCGGAGCGCCAATCTGCTCACCACGCCGCTGACCACAGCTGAGAGCCGAACAAACATCTTACCCATCACAGCTCGCCGTCTGGTTGGACTATCCGTGACTATCCACGGAGAACGAGCCGCGAACGATGCGCTGAAAAATAAACCCTCACCTGTGTTTACCTTTGCAGAGATTGCTTCAGCTCAACTTCCCAATTTCAGGTGGTTTAAAAATGTTCAAACATTCTTTTTGGTCTCTGATTGTCCCTGCGACCGAATTGACATTCCACACACATACAAAAACACACACACTCTTCCAATAGAAGCCTGCATGTCATGATTGCCCATCTAATGTTGCCCACATGTCATGCCTGTCCTGTTTCTCCTCGGAGCAGAACTGTTTCGGTTTCAGCTGGGCAAACTCAGAGTCAGAGTCTTCTGTGCAGCGTCAGAGTGACTTGGCCAAACTGCTGGGCACTTCAGATCGACTTGGAAGGCCTCATCAAGGCTCAGGGCGACAGCTGACGGAAGGGGAGGATTCAGACAGGTGCAGATCTGAAGCCTTTTCAGCCCTGTTCATGTTGGAACTCCATGTCCACAGAGGTCTACCTTGGCTTTTTATTCCACACATCAATGTTCTCCACCTTAAGTGCCAATTACGACTCGGAAGCCGGAGTTTACTCAGGTAGGAACTCTGAGAATGTACTCGCAATAAACCTGTCTTATCATTGAATACTCCAACCCATCCCTCACAGGTGAAGGGATGAAGAATAAATCTGGACATATCTGGACCAGCTCATGACTTGTGTGTGCAAAAGCACGTGGCCACCTCAACCAACTTCCATCATGTCCCCCATCGCCTCTGGGCAGTGGGGTAATCTTCAAGCCTGGCACCGGCTTGGCTGAAAGGTCTCCCAAAACACCAGAAGTTTGCTCAATCTTGAAATCTTACGTCTAGAAACCACTATTTGGATCAATGATCAGACACAAATGCACCCTTGCAGGTTTTCTGGAAATGGCACAAAAAATCCGAAGAGTCAGCCATCTGTCATCAGCCTAAGGCGTCAGTCAGGCGGACCTGTCATTCAGTCAGGCGAGCTCGATCTCCCATGGCACCTGTGTCTGTCTCCTCCGGCATCTTGTGTATCTTTATCTCCACGGGCTCCTCCGCCTGTTGAGACCGCCACACGCGGGAGAGGGCGGACCTGTCCCCAAGAAAGTCCAAGCAAAGGGGTCCATGTGTGCAACATATGGAGTCTATGCAACAGATTGATCCAATTCTCTCAGGTTTACCAGTTTTGAAGACATCTAAGAAGTGCGGAGAAACCGTGACACGATAGACATGTCAGGCCGAGTATGTGAATGCGAGGTTGCTTTGATGTTTTTTTTGGCGCCTCCATCCACACTGCCCTCGGTAAAAAAAACACACACCTCCAGGGTCTATATAAGTTTTTAATGGCCTCTCGGGCTCTTGGTTTGTTTGGAGAAATAGATGATACATACAAAATGAAAAACACACCCCAAACGTTGGAAGTAAACGCACTTGCGAAACTTGCGAAACACCGGATTCTCGCCTCCTCGGCTCGAGTAATCAGGAGTGAATAACCCATGGTTTGGAAGTCGCAGTTGTATCCAAATCCCCGTAATTAGTTGGGAACATTTGGACAGAAACAAAATGACTGGTTGTGACTGGTTGGGGGGTTGATAAGGTTCGATGTGACTATGGTTAGTCAGAATATCAAACAATTCTTGGGAAGGTTGAACTGCATGCACCGAACGTATGCTCTCTCGATACGCGCTCTCTCGATCGGTGCAGGTTGAGCCTTCTCAATGGTCGGCGGCTGGACCTCTGGTCACAAGGGCGCAGATCAAGACTTGGAAAACGGTGGGTCCCCCTGATCTGGCAACCTCTACCGACCCAAGATTTAGGGGTGCCAAGATGTACTCAGGCTGTTTACTGTGTCTGCGACTGATATCTTGACACGTGTAGGTAGGTAGGTAGGTAGGGTAGGGTAGGGTAGGGTAGGGTAGGGTAGGGTAGGGTACGGTGAGGTGAGGTGAGGTGAGGTGAGGTGAGGTTAGGTTAGGTTAGGTTAGGTTAGGTAGGTGGTGGGTAGATAGGTACGTAGGTAGGTAGATAGGTAGGTAGATAGGTAGGCAGGGATGTAGGAAGGCAAAAAGGTAGGGAGGTAGATGGGTAGCTTTCTAGGTAGATAAGTACCTGGGTAGGTAGGTGAGTACCTACATAGGTAGGTATCTAGGTAGGTATCTAGGTAGGTAGGTATCTAAATAGGTAGGTAGGTAGGTATCTAGGTAAGTAGGTATGTAGGTCCGGTAGGTATCTAGGTAGCTAGGTATCTAGGTAGGTAGGTAGGCAGGTAGGTAGGCAGGCAGGCAGGTAGGTAGGTAGGTAGGTGGTACACGTGCCATAGATGGCCGTGGTGTTTTGGCTATTTTACATCAGTGGTTGTATTATCTATGCGCAGGGCCATTGGTGAGAATTGGAAGGTCTGAACTGCGGCTCCTGGCTGGGAAGAAGCAAGAATTGTTTAGAACACCTCCGAATCACGGTTCAACAGTATACACCTGAACAACCCCGCAAACTAACGAGACCTTGGCCATTTTTCAGGTCTTCAGGAGTCGCCCAAGTTCAGTCAAAAACTCAGTCAGCGTTTTGCCGAACATCTGCTGACGCCACATCCACTGAAAGCATTTTTGCTCCAGTATCGGATTCAACAACGTGTGTCCGTTCCCTTTTTTGGTCATCGATCCCGGACATAGGTGACAAGAACTCTTTCAAAGACCTCCAAGTTCTATCACGGGTTTGGGTACGTCAACAGGGCTCACCCACGTTCCGTGGTTCAGCGGGCACAGTACGCGTGAACTGCTTCACCTGGTGTCACCTGTTTGACCGGCATGCCCGTCTATTGCACTCGCCCCACCATGCTCGATTGCCATCAGCAAAAACGCATGTCTTTGTCGTGGACACACGGGCCCTGACTTCCATGGGTGTAGGCGGTCTCCTGAAAAATGTTCAGTGATATATGGCAAAAACAAACGAGGCGTCTGTGGAGAAATGTCCATGGACTTCCATGGAGGCGACTGAAAAGCAAAAATTTACACAAGTTGAATCTTTCAAGGCTCGATCCCTTCAGGGACAAGAGCGGCTCGGCGAAGTGGACGCAGGCATTGCCACCCCGTTGCTGCAAGCACAGCACCACGCAATGGTAGACATTCTGCGCGCTCTTTTTGGGGATCTCACAGGCCGCCACCTGTCTAGAGTTGTGTGGGTTGCCACTACTGACATGAAATGAGTCATAAGAAAAGTAGCGTCCGCTGTTTCCCCTTGAAGCGCATGACATGCGATAGCCTTTCTCCTTCTTGCGCTTCCAGAATCCGCATCGCACCAAGGAAATGCGCCACGCAATGATGACCCACCTGCCAGGCTTGTACGAAGTCTTGAACTCTCGGGCACATGTTCAGACTGGCGTAGAGTCACAGCGTCACTTCCACAACGAAGACCGCAGAAAATACTCATGTTAACTAGGCCACATTGACGACCGCACTTGAGACAGCCCCAATGAGGCGGTCGCTGATCTGCGGGCCACAGCAATCAGATAGAGACTGGCCTCGGCATTGCTGGCATGGTTCCGGAATCCAGTTGTACTCTATCAGCCACTCAGCCGCGCTCTGGTCATTCAGATCAGGATCCTGGGTCATTGTTCCGTAAAGCATAAAACACTACAGCGCTCACGGTCCTTGAACGATACCGTTGCTTGCCGTAAGACAAAAGAAGAAACTCATGACATCTGCGAAAGGCCAGTCCTCCAAACAAGACGACAAATGTCGTCTGGCTTCTGCTGCATTAGCTCGTCTAGTGGCTGCTTTGCCTGTATAAACTTTGAAAGCTGCAGCGGCATAGCTCTTGCTTGACCGCTCGGACTTGCGTGTTTTGTGTTCCTTGCAAAGAACTGCATTCTTCCGTCGTCCCCTGTCAGTGTCCGAACGTGCTTTCGGAGAGAGTGAATAACCTTGGCAACTCTGTCGGCGCACGTCCCGAATCTGTGACTGGAAGACCCACAAGCAGCACAAAGCTTTGTGGACATATATGGTGCTGCGATCTCTGCGCCGGTCTCTTCATGGCTCTGACGTGGAGCTTTCCAAGCTTGCTGAATACTGGCATGGGTGCGCCTGTATTGTCTCCTATGCAGTCATGTGGTTCAGTATTCTTTTTCATGTCCTTCTGTTCCAAACCATTGAAATGAATCGGCATTGTTTTTTGTTATTTATGTCGGTGTTAGGGTATGTCTCCGCGCGCTCCCCTGCAGGAGACTTGTGGAGCCCAAAACATCAACCGTTGTTCATGTGAAATCAGATCACCGAACTTCAGTCTCCATGTCCCACAGCTGTCTACCAAAAACACCAACTGTGGCCTACAGATTTCTTTCCTGACTCTTCCATTCTCACAGTTCTCTGCGCGAAGTTTCTTTTGCTGTCTTCTCATATGTTTGTCAGCTCTGACCAGGTGGTGTATTTAAGTGGATCCAGTGGATCCCAGTCCAGCTTGCATCAAAAAGAAAACCTCAGTCTTAAAATTTCCAAGACGAGTGCGAAAATCACGTCTAATTTCTTGTGGGACTCTCACTCACTTCTCGAAAAGCTTGAGATCCACGGAGTACACTGCGCAGCAGAGTGGTCCCAGAGTACTCGAATTGAAGAAGACGCCAATCCCGGAAGACGAAGTAGTCGTGGTACTTGAAGAAGACGCCAAGACACATAGCCGGGAAGACAAAGTAGTCGTCGTACTTGAAGAAGATGCCAAGTCACATATCCGGGAAGACGAAGTAGTCATGGTACTTGAAGAAGACGCTGAGACACCAAGTCACATAGCCGGGAAGACGAAGTAGTAGTGTTATGACATAAAGCTGCCTGCTATGTCTATAAACTCCTAAAATACTTATTTTAGGAAAAACATAGAAATAAAATAGGATCAAAATTGGAACTGAAAATAGGAAAAAAGACACACAAAGAGGAATGATTCTCAAAAATAGAAAAGAAAAGAACTGGATTTAGAAATAGGAATGGAAAAAAGGAAAAAAGATGGAGCCCACGAACCCGAATGCAAACACGTTCGAAAAGCTACATTGTGGGACACTCTTGCGGGACACTCTTGTGGGACACTCTTGTAGGACACTCTTGTGGGACACTCTTGTGGGACACTCCTGTGGGACACTCATTTGGGACACTCTTGTGGTACACTCTTGTAGGACACTCTTGTGGGACACTCTTGTGGGACACTCTTATAGGACACTCTTGTAGGAAACTCTTGTGGGATACTCTTGTAGGACACTCTTGTGGGACACTCTTGTAGGACACTCTTGTGGGACACTCTTGTAGGGCACTCTTGTGGGACACTCTAGTGGGACACTCTTATAGGACACTCTTGTGGGACACTCTTAACTCTTGTGAGACACTCTTGTGGGACACGGTTGCGGGACACTCTTGTGGGACACTTTTGTGGGACACTCTTGTGGGACACTCATACGGGACACTCTTGTGGGACACTCTTGTAGGACACTCTTGTGGGACACTCTTGTGGGACACTCTTGTGGGACACCCTTGTAGGAAACTCTTGTGGGATACTCTTGTAGGACACTCTTGTGGGACACTCTTGTAGGACACTCTTGTGGGACACTCCTGTAGGGCACACTCTTCGTAGGAGACTTCCTCCAAAAGTCACGCTGCGAGGCTGCAAGACGAGCGTTTCGTACGAGACTTCCTCCACAAGTCACGCGTCAAGTCTCAAAAACGAGCGTTTCGTACGAGACTTCCTCCAAAAGTCACACGTCAAGTCTCCAAAACGAGCGTTTCGTACGAGACTTCCTCCAAAAGTCACGCGTCAAGTCTCCAAAACGAGCGTTTCGTGCGAGACTTCCTCAAAAACTCACATGTCAAAGTCTGCCAAACGAGGATTTCGTACGAGACTTCCTCCAAAAGTCCAGCGGCAGCACCCATCAGAGCACACACATCATGCAACCCTGCCAAGCAGTTTCGCGATTCCAGTCCCTCCAAACGACACCCGCTCAAACGCCAATCCCAATGTGACAGCGACATTCACCTCTACCACAACTCACAACCTCCCGATTCCCTGCACCGGCCACGAATCTTTCCGCGTCCACACGTCTAACGCGCACAAAGTACTGCGCCTGTCACGAAATGTCACCTCCGTCACACATCGCAACCTCACGATTCCCTTTAATTTCCCTTGAAAAAATAGAAATTCCTTTCATTTTCCTTTAAAGAATAGTTAATTCCTTTCATTTTCCCTTGAAAAAATATAAATGCCTTTCATTTTCCTTTAAAGAAAATAGATTCCTTTCATTTTCCTTGTAAAATTCTAAATTCTTTTCATTTTCCTTTAAAAAAGAAATCCTTTCACTTTCCTTCAAAAATTGTTTATTTCCTTTCATTTCCTTTAAACATTAATAAATTCCTTTAATGTTCTATTTTGTATTTTTTTTTAAAGAATCATATGTTTCCTATTTTTGGGCGGGCCTGAAAATCGTCCTATTTTTCATAGTTTTTCCTATTTTCTCTTTTTCCCTATTTTTTTACTATGTTTAATTTTAAAAAATGAAAAAATAAGAATTAAAAATAGTAAAAAATCGGACAATTTTCCACCCCAAAAAAATAGCAAAACAATATGAATTTAAAACGTAGGAGTTAAAACAAATTAAGTAGAAAATGAAAGGAATTAGTTTTTAAAATGAAAATGAAATAAATTTGTCATTTTTTGAATTGAAAATGACAGGAGGTTATCATGTTTAAAGGAAAATTAAAGGAATTTCTATCTTTAAAGGGAAATTAAAAGAATCTTTACTTTTTAAACGGAAAATTGATATTTTTTAATTGCTTAAAGGAAAATGAAAGGAAGTAATCAATTTTTCAAGGAAAATGAAAGGACATAATTAGATCTAATCTAATCTCATCATTCCAATCGAATGCCGGCCTGCACTGCTATTAAATATCAAGTTTCATCCACTTGTGTCTGACCATGCGTCTGATCGGAATGAGCCACCTGCCTTCCGGTAAATCTGAAATATTCGATCCTATTTGTTTCCTATTTCATGTTTGTTCTTGTTTTCTGCCCTATTTTATTCTTATTTTGGTGTCCTACTATAATCTTTTATTCCAAAAAATTAATATTTTTCAAAACAATAGAGGTAGCAACAGTTTTTTGATAATAGTACTGGTACTTGGTAGAGGCGGTCATGGAGATATCATATCCAGAATTTACAAGAAGAAGCTATATAAATATAGAGGTATATTATAGATATGTATGACCAGGGATAGCTTGCCTGATTTTTTTTCGAGCGTAGCGAAGTATCTGGTCGTCCGATGCACACACTCTCTCAGCGTGTACAGTTCTTGCAGACTGGGTCGAAAGACTGCACCGTGCTTCGACGAACAACATTTCGAATGTCCTGAAAATCTTTTCTCACGCCTTCAGGCAATTCGGAAAATGCAATGGGAAATGGCGTCTGACACCAACAACCTCGTCTGCCATCAGGCAACTGCTTCAAGAAACCCCGGCACACGAGAACTAAGTGCCCTTGCTTTTGGCCACGTCCAAAAAATCCTAAACATTCGGCTCAAGTTGCACCGCTGCCTCTCAGTATCCAACCCTTGCCACTGGCCCCACTTGAAAGCTCTTGTCTTTTGAGTATGAGATGCATCGGCCACGCTGCAGGAAGCCACTGTCGTGGGAGGTGCATCGGGCGCCACAGAGGCAGACTGGCAGCTTTGTTGCCTCGACGTCAAGAAAGTCTTGCAAGCAAATGCCCCTATTTGTGAGCAAGCACCAACTCACAAAATTTATAACGGCATCAATCACTCTCCGTCAAGTTGCCTCCATACTTCTGTAGGCACCGAGTGTCGATAGAGATGTTCAATCTTCTTCCTGAGGTGGTGTGGAGATTCGTTCCCATCAGTTGCGCTTAACTCTGAGTCCTCATCGCTCCGGTCAGCCCCAGCAGGAGTGTCGTGAACGGAATGTTGATCCGATTGCAAGCAGAAACTCCCATAGAAAGTACTTTCTAAGACCATGCGCGCACACGATATCTAAACGATCGACCGCGTACACAAAGTCGACAGAGCCAAGAATGTGTGGAAAAAGCAAATGCTTCACAAGCCTCGTGAGAGACCTCTTCACTTTCGTTCTCCAATTGCGCAGAGCACCGATCCGGGCACTGATACTGGAGCAATTCAGTGCTCGAAACCTCACACACTTCACAGGTGAAGACACCTCCTGGATCGACGCGGGAAAAGGAAAGCCAGCTAAGAATAATAGTTGCCTCCAACACCCGCCGGCGTCAGACAAAAGATGAAGCTCATTACATCTCCGAATGGAATGCCAGAACTAATGCCAGACACCAGTCCGTGGCACTAGCTCGTCAACAACGATCAGAGTCCAAGACCGTGGTATGAACGAAGCTCACCAAGGGGTCTCCGCAATGTCGAGTCAAACCAACATCTATGTATTGGTCTAAGGTAAACACGTTCACCCGCCACAATGACTGTAAACAAGAAAAACACGAAGGACAAGACACACCAACCAACCGAAACAACGACACTAAAACACAAACGGTCGCAACTTCTTGGACCTCTGGACGGAACGAGTGTCGGCAGCAAACGAACTGTGCGAGTCACCCATACCGTGAGAGGTTCGTATAGCAACATCAAAGAAACCCTGACCATGTCTGTGAAGTACGAATGTGTCTGCGCTACATCAACACTCCAACACATCATGAGATCCCCACCCCCCCCACCTCCCCACCCAACCCCCCATGTGTGTATGTCTGTGACGACACGTTGAAGCAAATGGGCGTTACTGAAGCGAAAACGACGTTTAATTTATTAAAAAAAATGCACCAAACACCACGGCCATCTATGGCACGTGCTCCGGGTAGGTAGGTAGGTAGGGAGGGAGGGAGGCAGGCAGGCAGGCAGGCAAAGGTAGGAAGATGGATGGATGGATGGATGGATGGATGGATGGATGGATGGATGGATGGATGGATACAGACAGGACAGGACAGGACAGGACAGGACAGGACAGGACAGGACAGGA